TCCCTACTCATTTTTGTGTATGCTTCCTCACTGTATCTCTACACCTGGTCCTTGTTCTCTTTAATGGTTTATTCAGTTTCTTCATATGTTTTGTGAACTGAATTCTGTAGTCATCCCTGCATAACACTGTGAACCACTGTATTCTTAATGTGACCATAATCTCTTTTAATGTTCATACCATCAGATCTTGTTTATGTCTTGTTTCAAATTGTATGCTTTGTATTTATTTATACTCCAAAAAAACTTTATCTTTAATTGTTTTGAACTGCTTCATAACATTTATATAGGGTTAGTCAGAAGTATGTTTACAAACTTCGTGTGCATGTTCCTGGATCAAAAATAAGAAAAAAATATTGTTATGAACATGTGGTCTCAATTGCTTCTCTTTCGAAATAATAGTCAAAAAATAAATTTTAATGTATGCCTTTATTGCCAAGTATAAGGACAGGGATGTTTCTTTATAACATATGCTCAAAGGATGTTCCTCCACTCTTCACACATGCCCGAGTACGACGTACACAAGACTGACGGATTCGTTTGCACACTCCAGGGTTTCCTCGAATCATCTTGCATGCATTCTGCACACGTCCCCATAGGTCGTCTTCATTGTTTATGGGTGATGCATAAACGACGGACTTCAAGTGACCCCACAGATAAAAGTCCATTGGAGTCAGGTCCGGTGACATCGGTGGCCATGCTACTGGGCCACCACGCCCAATCCATCGCTGAGGGTACTGTTCATTGAGATGATATCTGACGCGATGGGAGAAGTGTGCTGGGGCTCCGTTGTGCATAAACCATATTTGTCTTGTTTTCAGTGGTACATCTTCAAGGAGACATGGCAAGTGTCTTCTTAAGAGTCACTGATATAAGTTCCTCTTAGACGCAATGGAAGCATGTGTGGACCAATAAGCATGTCGCCAACAATTCCTGCCCAAACGTTAATTTAAAATCTTTGCTGGAAGCTGGATTCACTTTGATATAAAGACAATTCATTGAAACTTTTTTTGGCTATTATTTCAAAAATGAAACATTTACGACCCCATGTTCATAGGAACATTTTTTCTTATTTTTGATCCTGGAACACGCACACAAAGTTTGTAAACATACTTCTGACTCACCTTGTATAATATGTGAAGCTTCATATATACATAGTGTCACTAGCCTTGCTACTCTTTATGAATGTCGTGCTATGAGAAAACATGTTCTAGTTCAGTTTTGTTATATATGAACATAAATAAAGTAATCAAAGCAAATAATTTTTCCAGAAATCTTTATAACACAAGTATATCTCTGTATAAACAACTTTATCATTGTCCCAAGTTATTTTGAGCTGTGCTTAGATGTTTTATGATGTATAGTTGACCTGAAGTTTTCACATACAGTCATTGTTCATTTTGCTATATTCAAATAGATCTGTCTGAATCCGAGTCTGTAATATTTACTTCTTTCATGAACGGTTTATCAACAGAAATATCATCCTCTTCACTAATGTAACTGTCAGAGTTACTCTTATGTTCCATAATCATATACAGCATGCTGCAATTAAACATCTGACAGGAACTGGTGTTCCTTGAGTGCTTTCTTTATAGAATCAAAGTTATGAAAGGATTTGAGGTTTTCACGGCAGTGAGTCTGAAGATTGTTGTCTTCTGGGTTGTTGCAATGAATGTGTAGTGTGTGGATAAATGAACACTGCACCACGTTTTACAAGTTCAACAGACACCCACCAAAATGTGATTACAAGAGAACACACTGAGAAATGTTACATGCTACATGCAGTCTACAGGGTGATTCAAAAGGTTAGGGCCAAACTGAAGGAGCATATAGAGGGACTCAGAGAGAACAACTTTCGAATGGGAATCCATGTCCTCCGAAGTTATCCTGAGTCAGACGAGGCCATTGAAGGTAGGGAAGTCTGATAACATACCGCTGAAATAATCGTACTTTGCTATTCTCCTACTAGCTTAATTTTGTTTTTTTATTAATGTACAAGGATTACATTAGCAATCTTACAAACCAGATTTACAACAGGTGTTCAAAGTGGTGTCCTCCATATGTGCTTGCCCCTGAGCTCTGCAAGAGTGTATCATTCCATTTGACGTAGCAGTGAATGTTAAAAGATTATGAAAGCAGCAAGACACCAGTCACTATCAAGTCGCCATCACAAACAACCCAGGAACCTCTGCGCTCACAACTAACCAACATGAGACTACAAAAGCGGCAATACACCAGTCACTATCAACTCACAAACACAATGTAAACAGGCCAGGGGCCTCTGTAGAATCTGACGGAATACGTGTGATTCAAAATCGAGCTAGTAGGAGAATAGCAAAGTACGATTATTTCAGCGGTATGTTATCAGACTTCCCTACATTCAATGGCCTCGACTGACTCAGGATAACTTTGGAGGACATGGATTCCTATTCGAAAGTTGTTCTCTCTGAGTCCCTCTACACACTCCTTCAGTTTGGCCCTAACCTTTTGAATCACTCTGTAGACTGCATGTAGCATGTAACATTTCTCAGTGTGTTCTCTTGTATCTGCATTTTGGTGGGTGTCTGTTGAACTTGTAAAACGTGGTGCAGTGTTCATTTATCCACACACTACAGCCATTCCACCTTTCTAATGTTATTGGGATTTCCACCCAGTATAAGACAGCCATTGTATTGACTGATGAACATTTATATTAATTCTGGATTGTTGTGTTTTTGTGTCTTGTCCATCGCCTGGTGTTATAAAACACAGTGTTTTGAGAAATGGATCTGTCCTTATCTTCATGTGTAGTGAAAGGGGCTCCTTCTCTGTGGGGTCCATTAGAATGAGCTAATCCCACAGAGTAGGTCCCTCCTTTACCGTTTGTAGATGAGGACAGACCCTTTTCTTGAAACGTTGTGTTTTATAACACCAGGTGATGGACAAAGTCCAGAAACCCAACAATCCGGATTGTATTACATCATTGTCAGAACCTTTCAGAATTGGGCTCTATTCATATTCCAGAACATGGCTCTACAACATAGCAAGAGGCATTGACAGTGATCCTGTGACGAAGAGGCTTGTGTCTAAGTCAGTTGGCTGCTGCAAGAAGTTCCCTGGGAGACAGGCACTGACCACCAAGACAGACGTATGTTCAACACATTGCAGTTCAGACATTCCATTCAGTGGTTTTCTTCAGTCCCTCCAAGCAACTGCTGGGACAGTACCAAAAATTGGCTTTGGCTGCCTCTTTCCTTTCCATATCATAATTTACAAACATGATAACATTTGTTGATATAAAATGATTAAAAATGCATTGTTAATGAACCTAAAATTACTCACATTCCACTGACAGTCCATTTGTCTGTTACGTAAGTGATATAAACATGCCCAAGAATTTTATCTGCTAGTCACTTGAGAGATCTCAGTGTAAATATGAGAATAAAATTAAAATGGATCTTAGGAGATGGAGGTTGTAATGATTTTAAAAGGATTGAGCATTCTTGGGATTAGGTTCTTTGACAACATGGACAAAGTTTTGGTTAAAAAGAAACAGGCAATATTTTGAGTAGCAGAGTAATTGTTAGTTGCTGAAACACCCTGAAGATTATTGTCTTCTGGTATGTTGGGCTGTGTAGTTTGGTATGTATTGCCACAGTGATGGAGGCATAAACTTTTACCAGACTATACAGTTCAACATCCCAGAAGATGGTAGTCATCTTAATACTCACTGCTGTGAGAACCTGATATCTCACCACAAAACACCTTATTATTTGTTACTTAGTGGATCAGCCAATCTTGAGTCTTATTTGACACAAAAAAGTTAAAATACCTGCCATTTTAAAGCACAGTAATAATTTGTTGTTACAGATAAACACAGTACAGAGATATATGGTTACAGTTCAAAATAGTAATTTTTTCCAGTCGATTTCTATCAGAAAACTTTATTTCCAGAACTCTAAATATGTATTCAGTCAACTATGACTGTTTCCTGCGTTACTAAGTCTTACAACTACCAGGCACCCATTATGGCTCTGCTGTAGGTCCCCTTTGTGAATGATCATTCTCAAAATGATCTCATGTTCATGGTTGGGAGTAGCAGAATCTACCTGTGGTTGCTGCCACCCCCAAAATAGATTCTGTGCTCTTGCCTAGGTGAGCATAGAACAGAAAGATCATTGTAGACCATACTTTGAGGCATTTGGTACAAATAACAATGAAGTACGAAATGTCGCACATCATATCTCGGAACTGACAGCAGAACAGAAGAGCATTGGAAACATGGAGTTTACTATAGATTACGCTACCCATTGTAGCTCCCCAATTTCCTCACGATGCTGGGTTGGCACCGGTCCCATACACTGGTCGAAAGCTCATGAGAAAATTTCTTCTCCCCCGAGACTCGAACCAGCGCGAATTCCGTGTCACCAGTCCGATGAATGATGCCTCAGACTGCGCGGCTACGGTGCGGGACGCACATATTACAAATACTATTACAAATTTTGGATATGCTATGGACCCAGTCTTATAATGTTCCAAATTTGGATACAGGATTTTATCTTTGAGCTCCAGAAAGATACCAGGCCTCCACTTTTTATCAGAATTTAGAAATAGTCTTCTGCTATTTTTTCATATAATCTGTAGTTTTCACTGGTTACAGTGTCAGTAATGGCCTAAAAATTCAACCTTTGTTTCAGTGTTGACACCATTGCTTTATTAAAGAGGCAGATTTGTGAAGATACTTTGATTTCTAAATAAGTTGAGAACATTGCTTCATATATGTAGTTTTAAAGTTCCAAACAAGCCTACTGGGTACTTGTCGATGTTGTAAGTGTGCATCTTATTATCCTTGAATTGGTACCATTGCCCCAGTTATAGTGGTTTCCATTAGTGTTTTATTTCAGATGAAATTATAACTTGATGTGCTCCTGGAGTAGATCACTTTTTTTATTTAAAAAATAAAAGAACTTAAGTGTATCTGATTTATGTCTGCAGGTGCAGTTTTGGTTGTCTGAGTTGTCTGCTGAAGTTGCAGAACGCTTGGCTAAGGATCTAATAGAGGTGAATATGACTAGTGATTTTTTGTACTTTGCTTCTGTATCTGTGTTTGCCTAATTAGATTACTGTTAATAGTACTATGGACAATAGGTGATGCTATGTGTGAGCAGCATTCTGCCCTTTTTTCGTGCAAGAATAACATGATGGCTGTGCAAATTTAAAAGGTAGAGTCATTAATTAGCATTCGCTGTAGGGTATTCAGAACTAATATGATGATGTGTGAAAAGTATGCAACTTTCTATGGGGGTTATTTTTAGGGGAATTGAAAGTAGAAACTAGGTGACTGCAAAGAATATTTATGTTTGGCTGTGATAATTGTTGTCCACTGACAATGTAGTTTTCTTCATTTTACCTAGAGTTTTCTGTCGTGTATACCTTTGTTTCTGAGTTGGTAATAAGACAAGTGTGTATGGAGATACTATAACCAAATCCTTCCTTGTGCTATCAGATGTGAAATTATTACATTTAGACTGTAGAAGTAGCATGTGTGGGTTGAGGCATGTGCATGTATTTCTAGTGTTTTATAGTTCTTTTGGTTCACGATAATAGTGTAGTGTAAAAGTCAATGTACCAAAGTCTGATTGTGTCAAAATTGAAAGCGGAAAAAAATGTTTTCATTTATACTGTACATCCTAAGGCAGACTCTTCGCCATGTTGATCCCCTCTGCCATTTCAATTCTCTCTTCCTCTTTTGCCATGACGTGGCTCAAGCTCGGATCTATCTTGTGTTTACTGTTACAACGTGGCGCTTAGTCTCTGTGTCCTTTGTCTACCTCTGTTGCCCACCATTTTGGCAGACAGCAGCATTATCTTTACCTTTTACCTCTTGTTAAGAGATACTAAATTGTCAGTAAACCTTTTTAAATTCTGTTATGGTCCAGTGGTTGTAGTGTAACCAATGCACTTACTATGAAGCTGAATGACGTTGTACATTGTGGCTTACATGTTGATTGGCTGTGCAGAACAAGAGACGAGCCAAACTCTTGACTGTGTCGTACCACCAAGACATCAATTCAGACTTCACATCCAGCTCACGTTCTGGCCCACTTACTTCGTATGATCCCCAGAGGATACAGGCCGATGCCTTTGAACTGGTTAAGAAAAGCAACACTGGCTCTGTGGGTGGACCTGATGTGTGGTAAGTATGGTTCACATGCAGCTGCTGTGTGAGGCATGGGTTTAAATCCTGTCCAGAGAATGATCTCTGTAATGGAGTTTCATTCTGTATCATTCTGACTGATCACCTGAGAAAATTTAATTGCATCTGATATTGAGAATGTAAAATTGTATATTAACCATGAAATTGAGGATAGATTTAAGAAAACAGTGGAAAATGAATTACAATATTTTCCATGTGCTTTGTAGTTTTTTCCTATTCCATTAGCTACATTGTTCATTTATTGAAAACTCATATTTTTTGTTACAAATCTAATATACTAGACATCATTTTGTGTAGTCAGATGTAATCCCTTATGTTTTGTTAAGCATTCACTGTATTTTATAGTATTTCAGTTAAAATTTGTAGATGTTAGATCTGTTTTTTTGTCATATGCAGGTTTTTTATCATAAAAACCATTCTTGAGAGAGGTGATGATGTTTGACATCACATTAGGGATTATGTTTCACTGGTGTGGATAAAAATTAAATTATCCTTTCAGTGTACACACTCAACCACTCCCATTCCCTTAACAGAAAATTTTATTGAAAACCGTCAGTAATTTCAAAGATAAAACAGGTGGACAGACACAGAAATTGCCCGTCTTAAATTCACTTTATGCAAATAAACAAAATTGGTTATTACTGGGACAGAGGATTTTTCCTCTAGCCTCTGCGTCCAGACCGTCTCTGGGGCCCACCCAGCCTCCTATCCAATGGGTACTGGGGTCCTTTCCTGGGGGGTAAAGTGCGGTCAGGGCAGTTATGCTGACCACTCACCCCCATCTAGAGCCGAGGTCAAGAATGAGTAGGAGCTATACCTCCACTCCCCCCAAATGATTTACATGGCGTGTAGCATGACAGCTTTTACTGGGACAGGATATTTCAGCTATCTTTTTGGGTTAAGAAAACAGGTGTCTCTTGTGTTTGAATTTGAGTTTTTGATCAGGTTGTATTACTTCTGCTTTTATGAAACTCAGTGGGGCTTGTATTCATGATGAACCGGATTCAAATCTTAGCTTACAGCCTATCTACACCTTCTTTCTCACCATTCATAAATGTCATTTGCCAGTAACCCTTTCTGTGCCTTGACCCATTGTGATGGTTGGAGGTTAGTCTCCTGTTATAAGTCATGTGTGTGTGTGTGTCTCAAGAGATAACAACACCATGTATAATGTTTCACTTTTTGCTTGTCTTGGATACAGATATCTCTTATATGTTATACAGTGTCTTTGGAACAGCTTGTTAATTCTTGCATAACCAGTAGCAATAAGCCTGGCAGCAAAAGAGTTAAAGAAATAACCTTATTAATTGATACAGTGTCATTGAATAATTTGATTAATCATTTGATATATTTTTACAGGAATCCACCTTTGGTGTTCCTGGGCTTGTCAGTGGGGAAGTTTGTGGACGAAGGTACAACACAGAGTTCAACAATACATGATTTCTTCAAAGCAACACAGAAGGAATCAAGCAAGGATGGCAGTAAAAATGTCACAGAATTAAAGAAGGTAGTTGATGATAATACTGATGGTGCAGACAACCATTGTATTATGCAAGTTAAGGAATGTGGAGAAATTAAACCATTAGCAAACCTAAAAAACAGTTGTGAAGTGGTAAGTGATATGTGTAAGGCTTCATCCACAAGTAAGTCATTCTTTATGAAATATTTAAAGCAACACAGCATTGCTACATGTGCTGAAACAAATATAGATCAGCCAATTTCTAAAAGTGTACTTGATCCAGACAGTGATGATGATCTATTTGAAAGCCCAGTTACAGACATGGAAACACCAAAGGAAGAGAAATCAAGCTTGCTTTCCACAACCACAAGAGCAGAATTTAATTTAGGAGCATCTACTTCTCTTGTTGGAAATCAGGTTGATGACGACACCACCGAAATGTGGGTAAGTCTTACGGAACTATTCCCGGATATCAGCAAGGCTGATGATGATGTCGTGGCCTTACTACCGACACCTTTACAAAAACGTGTCCAAGCTCAAATTGAAAAGGCAAAGCATGACTCTAATGTAAGTAGTAAACATGTATCAGCCAACTTGACATCAGATGATACTAACATGACTCACACTTCTGACTCTTGGCTTGTTGGAGGTCACACACAGGCTGAAACTGACCGAGCTACTGTGAGTTACGTTCCGTTGAATCACGGAGATGAAGCCGAGACCAGTTCTGCGAGTCACTGCAAAACAGACACATCACATGCATACCTTGTCACATCTGTGACACCAAGTATATGTGAAGAGAGTAACGCAGAGAACAATCAGAATGTAGTTTGTGAGACCTGCCCTCAGTGTAGAAAAGATGTCCCCCTGAGCGAGTATGCAGAGCACCTTGATTTCCATGCAGCAGAAAAGTTGCATAAGGAACTGAATGGTGGATCAGTTCATGTGAGAACTGCAGTGACCACTTCAACACTGCCCAAGAACCCGTCAGAACTTCCAACAAAACGAAAGCGCGGTCGTCTCCCAAGGAAGTTGTCTGTGACTGATTGCGGTAAAAAAATGAGAAGTATCACTACATTCTTTGCTCCAAAGTGAGAATACGGTTTTGTTTTGTATTTAAATGGAAAGTGATGGTTTTGTTAGCAGTTTGTAACGTCGTTCTCAGCTTTATTTCTTTTATTTAAGGAGATTCCTTTTTAAAATAATATATTTTATTTACACACGCAGTCCATCCAAAGAAAGTCTGGATATTTATTAAGGCTCTGGATAACAAAGATGGGATTCTCCTATCAATATTTAATTGCCGTATTGGATTAAAGCTTTTTAACATTTTACTGCTGAACAAATATGTTCACTGGCCACTTGCATTGCATACCACAGATTGTCAAGTATACTCACATTGTGCAGTTTTATGGTTATTGTTTTATGTTATAATGAATTTTGGTGATATTGTCATTTTTATACTGTTTTGTAGGGAGAGAAATAGTCTTCTAAAGTGTATATAACAAAGTCATCATTATGTATTAAACAAGTACCATCTTCCAAATAGGCGTGCTTCAAACAAACAGCTGGCATGCTGCTAGGAGAGAGTTATTTTGTGTCTTATTGTTCTTCAGAAATTAATTTCATGGGATATAAAATTGATTTATTTCCCTTGATTTGATATGATTTCTTTGGTGGTTGTAGTATTGAAGAGTGATTTATGCTCCACCTTATGGTTCTTTTGACGTGGTTTACTATCTCTAACATTGAACAGGCACCCTGTCCTTTTTCATTGTGGTGTTGGTGCATTGTATATATGTGTCTGGGATTCACAGTATTCTAGTGTGCAGATGAGCTGGAATTTCTCTACGCGGCTTTGGTTTTAAGTAGCAATAAGGTTTTTGAAGGCCATTGATATTTCAGGCATATGAGAAAGTGAAGAATTAGAGATTCTAATGAGAGTGAAATGTCAGACACCAGTGAATGAGGTGATAATAAAATATGGCTTCTGGGTTGCTGCGCCATGTAATCTGGTAGAAGTTTACCAGTGCTTCGGAGGTCCTTGCTGTCTCCATTATCAGGGCGATGATCTTCTACCAGAAGACAGCCATTTTCAGACTCACCGCCGTGAAAACCTCAAATACTATGTAGTGGTAATGATGTCCATGATCAAGAAGATGATATGTTATTATCTGGTAGTGAAGTTGGTGGTAGTAGTATGACTGGTGATAATTTTCTATGCCGTGTTGCCTGAAGTAAATTTACTCAATTTGAAAAACAGGATCATTTTTCAAAACAATGAATAGCATCTACACTACACTGGCAGACTATGTTTACATGATAGTGGAAAGCAAACAAACACTTGTTATATTGCAACAGACTCAGCCTGCTATGGCTTTTTCTTCACTTCATATTATAATGTAGGAAACTTGTGGGCTGAGATGGCATGCTCAGCTACCCACAGAAACTCCAGTATGCTTTGTACGCTGCATTCTTGAAGGTTTTTAGCTCATCTTCTGACAGTGGGAAACAATGCTGTCTACATCACTCAAGAAGTACCCGAAAAGAAACATTGTAAAGGCTGATGAAAACAACCGTAGACATCTGGTAATCTTTAAAGGAGTTAACAGTGCTATAAATACAAGCTCAGGCAAGCAGCCACCCTAGTGTTAAAGTGACAAACAGAACAGTGTATTACAACATAGATGAAAAAGCATTTATATCCATATAATCAGAACTGTGTCAGGTATTTTCACAGTAATTATCAGTTGTACTTGTAACAGTGAAGAAAATCCATCTTATATTAAGAACCCCCTATGGTGTAATCACTAATTACAACATGACTGGTATCAGAAGTGTGATTCAAGATGGATCCAACATTCCATTTAATTATGGACTAGCTAAATAAATAGAGACAAAAATGGGTACAGTCCAAGAAAAAACAGTATATTCTTCAGGATTTAGTGTGAGTGAAGAATATACTGTTTTTGTTATCATAAAAATGAGTAGAAACAAATTAAAAATATAAGATTTATCACTTTTACAAAGGTTGAAGGTCGATGCATTTTTGTCTAGTAAATGCCTCAACATGTTTGTAATAATATTTTTGAGCATAAAATCAGTTGTTCATCCTACTATTACAGTGTTAGCCAGAATGATCTAATATTTATACGGCACAGTATTATCATCACTAATCATTTTATTGTGTGCTGTGTTGTGTATTCTGTGAATTATGAAAGTCAAAAGGTTTTTATGATGTGCTTTGTTACTAACAAAGACTGTCATCAAAAATCATTCCCCTTACAGTTTACTAAAACTACTGTACATATAGAGATTTGTATGCCTGTGATATAATAGTGCATGTGTAACAAAACTATTTTTAAGAAATTGGAATTTTTTATTCTAAAATAGTGCATGCTTTGCTGGTACAGGATTTGCTGAGAAAGAGTTGACACATTTCTATATAATATTATACTCACAAAACTTTTGTTAAACTGAACAAAATTTTTCACATGGAAACAGGGTTTTACTTCACTGTATTGAAATTTTGTAATACCAATATTTGTTATTGTGAAATATTTTTCCATGAGAGTTTATTATACTTCATTAGACGATGATCCATATTTTCATTATGCTGGCATTTGTATACTGAGATTGTGATGCATTCATAGATTATGGTATATTATTTCAGTGTTGGTCTGCCAGGCGTGACAATAACTATAAGAATTGTCACATCACGCACATGACCTTGGAATAAACCAGACCTTGTTAGGAGCATTTGACTGTGCAACTTCCCCTCCCGGTACTGGTACTATCTAGTCAGGAATCTGTGTGTTATTGTTGCAGAGGGTCAGACTAAGTCTGTAGAACTGCAGCCATTAACAGGCCCATTGTCCAGTCCTCACCTTGTACATAAGTATTGATGGAATGACATTAACAGGGAAAAACTGAATAACTCTGAAAAAAGGTGTCCTAATGCCACTTTGCCCACCACAAATTTTATATGGATTGTCCCAAGCATAAACAATTAATTTCACAGTGAGAAGCTGGTGTCTACCTAAGCCTTGGCATGGCTTTGAGAATCTGTACAGAAACACATTACACAAGAGGAAAATGTTTGAAGATTTCTGTCTTCTGGGCCCTGATAATGGAGGCAGTATGACCTCTGAAACGTTGGTAAACATCGACCAGACTACACAGCGCAACAACCCAGAAGACAGAAATCTTCATACTCACCGCTGTGAAAACCTCAAATCTTACAGGAAAATGTTTGTAGGTTGTGATTTTTGTTGTGTGGGGATTGTTTATTTATTGGCTTTTTTAATTACTCTTTGTCAACTGTATGGGTTATACATAGTGTGTCCAAAAATTTTCCAGACTGGTTTAAAAAATAATTACATTTTTTATTGCATGTTATTCTAAATACATTCAATCTGTAGCTTCTTCTTATTACAACGATCATAAAACTTATCAAAGCATTGCTGAAAGTCCTTAGGGATAGGCTCCAGGAAGTCGGTTGCAGCTTTTTGAGTGTCTTCAGTGTCATCAAAACGTGTGTCTTTTCATTTTCAATTTTAGTTTAGGGAACAAAAAATAGTCACATGGCGCGTAAGGGGGAGTGATTAAGAACCACGACACCTTAGGATGCCAAAAAACTTGCGAACGACAATGCCTTTGTGAGCTGGGGCATTGTCATGCGAGAGTGACCAACTGCTTTCTCTCGATACTGTGGGTAAACTTTGAATTCTTACCATTAAACGCTTCAGAACTTCCAAGTAATAGTTTTCATTGACAGTTGTGCCCTCAGGAATAAACTCATCAGATGGAGCCAGCCTTTTATGGGTAATTAAATCAGTCCTGAAATTTTTGGGACACATTGTTTATATAAACAGATGGCATAATGACTGTGAATGATGATTTGGGAAGATCTTGGAAGAAATAATTTGTGACCTGTTTGAATTACTGTGCCAGAATTTGTATAGAAGGATGAAGGCTAACCACTATATAGTGGACAATGATAAAATATGGGATTTATTTAATTGGTGGTGAAACAGTTCATGACTGCTTCCTGTCCATACTTCCCAGTTAATAATTGTCGACTCATATACTTTGACGTTTTTTGACCTTGGTCACTACAGCATCATCAGATGACCTATAGATTATTATTATTATTCAGTGTTCTGTCTTACGACAGGTCCATTGCTCTGCCCAAAAAGAGCAATGTGTGATTAAATTACAACTTCATTTGCAACTGCCATCAGAAGTAAAAAATATAACATCATATTCAAATACAGTGTTGCAATACGGCAATTGCTGTCTTGAATCTTTACACAGTGGTTTCATCTCAAACATATATAATCTTGAATATATTTATAGGTGATGCTTTCTTGTAATGTACAATGTCCGATGAAGGATGCAGTTTGAGAAATGTCTCATGAGGTTCAATGTGGGTAATGACAATGTGTCTTCAGCTCTGTGTCGCTGTTTCTCTAATTTTATCTTATTTATTATATTAATTTTGTTGTTTTTAATCAGTGATGACCAAAGTTCTCACTAAGTGCAGCTTGTTGGTAATTTTTCGTGTCCCACATCTCAGAATTCACAACTTCCTTTGAGCATCACTGAATATTTTGTGAAGTTGAAGTATTATGAAATAAATTTACAAACACATGTCTATCTGCATTTATATGAATTTTCTGCATTCTTTAAAACAAATTTTATTTTACAAGATGTTTGTTTTGGGCAAAAAAAGGGAAGAATTCTGCAGAAATTTGAGGCCATACAAAGGAAACTGCACTGCAGATCCCATAAGAGCATTGTGCTGTTCATATGGTCAGGCAGAGGAATGTAATGTCAGGGGTCTACAGAGGCACTTTAGTATTGTTTGTTTAAGAGATAGCCACTAGAATCAATTTTCAAAGTATCACCAAACTAAAAACTCTGCATTGTCCTCCCTTATAACACACAAGTCAGCAAACTGACCTATATTTCCCCTGAAAGGTAACATTTTCTGAGTGAATTCAACTGAGTTTCTTGCATGACCAAAACTCATTTCCTGATATAAAATATTTTAACTGTAAAATGCTGCATTTAGGATTAGTTTTGGACACCACTGGTGGACCCATTATTGGGAGATTGTTTTTAAATAGAGTGTTCCTGAAATGATGTATATTTTGAAATTCACTGCTATTTCTATGTGACAGGATTTTCATATACTTGAAATATATTAAAATATATTGGTTTTTAAATTTTCAATTGTCCATTAATGAACCAGCCCCATTTCCTAAGCGGAACTACCCTCCATAATCCAGAACCTGATGTTCCTCTGTTTGTGAGCCCAAAACCAACTAATTCAGTTTGTTGGTTGGACAATTTCCTGACTGATTAATGTTGCTGTTTTGAATTTTGAGCACATTTAGACTCAGCTCAAAATTTAACAGACTATCCATACAATGTCATTCTGCCTAAAATACAGGTTTTAGCAAATGTGTTTTTAATCAACCTAGAAATACTGATATTTCTTTTTGTACTGTATTTTGAGAGCTGTGTGTCATGACCGACATAAACACAAATTTCCTTATCATGGACAAGGATGTGTTGACTTGGAAGATAACTGAGTCAAGAAATATGTGCCACATGTCAGGTGTTCTCGACCCCTGTGCCACATGTGGCCTGCCAGTCTGCTTTGTATGTCTTGTGTACATTTTTTGTTATGTTGTCACTCTGTGTGATGAAAAATAATTGCTTGACATGTGAAAACACATCTTGTTAATACGTCAGTAAGTGTCATGAGCACCTTTTTAGCTTAGGAACGTCAAATCATTGACTAGGATTTGTTTCACTTTTGAACACTTTGAGGGATGCATATAAATTGCAACAACAGAAATTAAACCCATCACTGAAGCAATGTTAAATATGTCAGTGGTGACTGATTTTGTTAAAATTATTTTAAACTTGTTTGTAATAGTAAGTTAGGAGGATTTTTAACAAATTTTTGTGAATTAGATTGTCCTCATTCATAATCTTGCAATCTGCATACTGATAAGCGAGGGTGAATATGGCTCTACATCTGGAAGACTTTGAGAACCATTGCCATATGTACTTCTTTAATTGCCTCACTTTTTGCAAAATTCGTGTATGAAGAAATAAAATAAAGGTGGATTTTTCTGTTTGTATTATGAACGTGGTTATACAATAATGAAGGTTTCAAAATATTTACTTGTGGTGGGTGGGGTACAACATTGAGGCTGTGCTGTTTAATAAGACATGAAAAGTCACTGTACAGTTAACCACATAATATAGTACATACAGGTTGTATGAAGTGTGTGTCATAAGTAGTACTGGAAATGACCACATTTTGCATGCGTTAACACGTTTAATTTTATCGCTGAACACATTAACAAGGTCTCCTCATGTGATGGACTGCATGAACTGGATAACTGCAACTGCACAGTGACTTTTTGAATGTACTGTACATGTCAGTGTTACACTTTCAATTGCTAAAAATGTTTCGTTACTTGTGTAAGCCGCAACTTTTCAAATCAACGTTACTTAGTGCACTGTCTGTTTCTGTCATACACGTTTCCTTAAGTAACAAATATTTATGAAAGTTTCTCTTTGTAGTTTTGACGAGAGCATTTGTGAGTTTTATTATTTTCATCCTCTTTGTGGTCATAAGGGCATAGATGGACAACAGTGCTTTTTGAAGGTTGTACAAATAACTTGGTACAAATTGTTCGGTAATGAGGGTAAATTGAAAATTGTGTTGGAGAAATTGAAGTGTGAAGAAAGAAGTTTACTTTCCTAGTGACTTTTTAATTACAAATGTGTTCAATCAGTCTATTAAGATCAGGGAAAGTGTAAGAGAGAATATAACCCAAATACAAAATTAAATGATACGTGACTGCAATAGAAATAAAAAAAATTAATACAAGGTTAGGTTTTGGCTATGTTGGGTCCATTTATTAGTGCAATGGTTGCAGGGGGTTATAAAGCATAAAGATGATAATAATAACATAAAGTGGAGGAGAGAATTATGTGGTACAAAGAATCAATTTTTAATGACTTATATGTGTGAATGTAGTCTCTGTGAATGTTTGTACCTAAATAAGGTAAATTCACTTCCCTGAAGGAAAGAATACAGGAAGATTTTGGAAGATAGCATTCAAAATTTCCACATGGAGGGTAATAAAAGCAAAATTGTGTGCGTATTTAAACATCACACTATGGAGATGTACATGCATAAGTACCATGTCATGGAGACGTGGGAGCAGAGGTATAGCTCCATAAATTGTTAACATGGTCAGTTTGATCAAGTGAGTGGCCAGCTTTACGATTAAGTCACTTAACCTAAGGAAAATAACTGATACCCATTGCATAAGTTGTAGGCAATAATTTAAATTGTTATAGATAACTACATTTGCTAGGCATAAAGGGGTCATACCTCAAGTAACTCATAAGGAATTATATATTTGACTAGACAAAATTTCCCATTCTGGGCTTCAAAAATGCATTATTTGCATGTATGTATCCATCATGCTCTTAGTATTCACAGATATAAGAAGATCATACATTCGCAATTTTTCAGATGTGGTCAAGATCAATGAATTCGAGTTGAGCTTCATGTAAAGTAGGGTTACATTCGCCTGACAACATTGTAATGTAGAATCCTTAAATCAAATTTCATCAAAGTCTGATCAGCAGTTGCATAAATGAAACATGCAGACAAACACGGCCCCATTATGTACTATTTACAAGGAAGGCATACAAATCGTTTAAAAAATGATTGTATTATCCCAGAGCTTACTTGGTCATACACTTCCTACAATCGATATTTATCGCCGATCGCTACAGCGATTCATTGAAGTTAATTCCCTACATACTAATAGATGGCAGAAGATGGAGAATACTGATAATTGAAGGCTGTCGTAACAGATGTCAGTATTATTCCAATGAAACAAGGCAGAATTCTAAAAATGCCCAATAGATGGGTGTGCTGACATATTCTTGACCTTTGTTATTGCTATAAGGGGATGTATTATCTAATCGCCTTCCCCAGATACAGGCCATTGCCTTACAAACGGCATACGATTGCATTTGAGTGTATTATGGCACCAAGTTTTATATGAAATGCAGAAAATTATAAACAAGAATAAATGCAATATAAATTCGGTCTCTTCCAAAATGTGACAAATCTTCAGCAATAACAAATAATAACATTAATTAACTAAATCCCTGGTAGCAGAACATATTGCAATGTAGATTCGTATCGGTAAACTTCTGCCAGACTACACGGATCAACAACCCAGAAGACGGCCATATTTAAAATTGTATCGTTTTTAAAATGTTAGTGTACATTTTTTTATATTTATTTTCACTGGCCGCCAGCAACCTGTAATCCCATTGTAACTGGACCCAAAATTTCAACATGAACTAGATTTTTCCAGGCGAATTCCGGGATTATAGACTATCTGAAGACAAATGCCCCACAATATGTTTTACGTTCGGTCATCTGGGAATTAAAACATTAGCTAAACGTACTTTACGTTGTGGACTGTGTGTAGTCAAGACAGAGAAGCAGAATGTAATTCTTTGTAAGCTGCAAGTAGGTGGCTTGAATACAGGTTTCTCTCCACTAAAACATGCAAAAGCCAATCAAGGCAGAAGAGTTCGGTATTAAGACGATTTACGTCTTTTATAGCAATAAAAATGTCGAGCAGAATTGATATCAACTAATAAATTTCACTAACCTAAAATAGTACTTTGAATCGTAAGGAATGGAAACCAAGCGTGCGTGTTATTAGGAAGTGCCCTGACTGTGTAAACTTGATTTTGCTATTTGCAGGAATGGAAACCAAGCGTGCGTGTTATGAGAAGTGCCCTGACTGTGCAAACTGGGAACTTGATTTTGCTATTTGGAGTCCGAGTAACATGAATTTAAAGTTCCCACTGTGGTGAGTACGAAGATGGCTGTCTTCTGGGTTGTAGCGCCGTGTAGTTTTACCATTGCCCTGATGATGGAGGCAGCAACGACCTCTGAAACGATATTTTGTCGAACAGAATTCGTACCTCTAAATATAGTCCATTTACTGAGGCCTGGATTAGGCGTACATTTTAGGCATATCCTTGTATCAAAATAATTAAATATATATTATTTATACTTATTTTAAATTGTGCTGTGTTTGAGCTTAAAATACATATTTAATTGGACAATCGAAAGTCTAAAATTTGACTGATTTTGAGTTATAGACTGAACGATTAAAGGATAACGAATTTACAAATCAAGCCAGCAGGAAACTGACGATCTAACTAACAAAACATGTGACAAATTAAC